ATTCATTTGTTTGCTTATTTTTTAGTATTGTGAATAATTAAGCATTTTTACGAGTTTAAGGTTTGAATAATAATCATCTAAAAATCTTAAAATTACTAAATAATTATTTGCATATTAGGAATCTTTCATCTTAATTCGGAATATATTCCTATTAGAAGATAAAGTTTTAGGTGTTTTAGAGCATATTTCCATAACTCAAAAAATTTAACTGAAAATGTTTTTATCATGTTAATGCTTGGGTTCAATTTAGGCAATGAGACGTTTGCTCAGTAAGTTAGGTGATTTGTTATTTTGTTATCTGTAAATTTGTGTGTTCATATTCTGGATATTAAGAATAGGTTGTTTCATGTAATGGTGATGTTAGTTTTTTTTAAGGTAGCGACTTTATCAAAACTTCGACAGGAAAAGAGAAAGTGAATGCAACGTATGAAGCTGCTTGCGTTATGTGTCATGCTATCAAAAAATTTTATTCTTTTACAGGTCATTTCACTTGATCTGTTTGTTATAATTTATGAACTTGCTTTTAAGGAATTTATGTCCGTATTTAATTGCAAATAATTTATTTATCTCTATTTTAATCTTGTTTTTCGTAAACTTTGCAGTATAAAAATTTGCTTCTAATTAATTATTACTTCAACTTAACTGAAAAATTAATTTCAGACTTTATAGCTGAAGAATGAATTCTTAGATTTCTTTTATTCAAATCAAGGAAACTTAGAAAAATGTTATCGTAGAATTTAAAATCTTTCATTCAAGATGAACATTATTGAAACTATTATTCAGGAAAGAAAGTTGGTTTCAAGGCAGCAGGCGGCATTAGATCAACTCGAGAAGCTTTAGCATATCAAGCTATAGTGGAAGAAATTCTTGGCACGGACTGGCTTGAACCGAAGTTGTTCCGTATTGGAGCAAGCAGTTTGTTAGATGATATTGTTAAGGAATTAGGCAAAAGATAATCGCGAAACGTTATTTTGGAGCGTTTAACAGTTATCATGGAATGGAACAAGTCGCTGTAGTCAGCTGCCCGAAATTTTTAGTTTATTTTAAACAAATTTTAAACATATCACGGCTTTTGTTTCTACTTATTTTTTTAACTGAAAGAAAAAAATTTTTCTTTCAGTTAAATTTGAATTTGATTTTTATGAAACTGTTGCCTTTTTTGGTTGTATCATTATTCCAAGATTATATTATTTGTCTCTCTTTAGTAGCTTATAACAATAAAATTTGAATCTTTTTCTCGTTCGAGTAATTTCTTTGTTCGATTGTTTCAAACATAGATTTCTATTTATGGATATTGCATAATCCTTGCTATTGTATCCATTATGATTTCAAGTTATTTTAATAAAAGTTTTAAAATAAATCAATTTTTTTTGCACTTTTGGTGAGGAAGTTTTTTGGTTATTCATCTTTTATATTGTTTATATAAGCCATTAATTTGACTTTATCGAATAGAAATATTATACATCCAAATGCTAGATAGGGTTTATAAACAGATGTAGTTAAATTTGACTTCATGTTTATTTCAAAATTTAGAAGGGGTAAATTGTAAGTGCCAGAGAAAGCTGATGATTTTTTTCTTTATGTTGCTGTTGAAAGTATGTTGTTGTGAAAGTAGTTCTAAGTTCCAGGTAATAACTAATGGCTTACTGTTCATATGTAATAGTTGGTGGTGGTGTTGCTGCTATATCGTGTGTGGAGGAAATACGGGTTACAGATGATAAGGCCAGAATTATCGTTGTGTCGAACAGTCAACTGATTAAAACTGTTGTTAACCAACAAAAAGTAATCACTTCTTTCTTTTTTAATTGCAACTATTCTATAAGTTATGTTTTATTGTTTTCATTTACTTGGTATCTTATTGGTTTAATCCATCTTGCGGTTTCATTATTTAGTTCCTCTTTCAATGGTGGGAATGATTTTTAAGGTATGTTTACTAAGTCTTTCAATCTTCGCGTATATTTTATATTTTTAAAATTTTTTAGATTGGCCAACTGATGGAATTATTTGATATTGCTGAGCAGCCAGTGACAAGTGTTTTTGCCGATCTCGATGTTACATTCGTGAAAGCAACCGTAACTCATTGGAATTGGAAGGATAAAATAAGTTTTGGTTATCTAAATAAATTCCTTAAACACAATCATTGTTCACTATTGATGGATCAAATTCGTCAAAAAAAAACAATCTGTCCAAGTCTTCCATTTTGTCAGTAATTTATTAATTTGTATGTAGCGATAAGAAATGATTTTGTAATTATAACTTGATTAATAATTAATTATAATTGCGATAACCGTAATTTATAGGTGGGTTAAGTGAACTTAAAAAATTTGTTTCAGGAACTTTTATTGGATAATGATCAGAGAATTACTTACGACAAATTGTGCATAGCTACCGGAGGCCGGCCGAAAGTAAATATTTTGAAGATTTTTCTTTTTGCGAGCGAGGAAATGAATGGTCAGAGATGACAGTATCAAACTGTTGTAGGCAAACTTTCAACATGCATTATCCATTTCAATCAGAGACACGGAAACCGTGGATCGCTTGACAAATCGAATTAAAGATGCAAAACGAGTACTGGTGGTTGGAAATGGCGGTATCGCAACAGAAATTGTGTAATTTTTATGAAACCAATTTGTTTCTTGAACATCATTGTTTGAAATACATTAATGTATTGCTGGTTGGAACATTTAATTTTATCATAAAAAATGAAAGTAATACTGCTCATTTTTAATTTCTTCGTTCGAATCATATACTTATTTTTAAGAGCATCTCTATAATCGTTATCCCCTGTAAGGATTGTATTGCAATTCATTACATAATTTTAATTGTTTAGACATGAGCTTAAAAATGTCGAAATTATTTGGGCTATACGTCATTCTTCAATTTCGGCAACATTTTTCGATGAGGGTGCTGCCGAGTTCTTTAAACCAATGCTCATAAATGGCTGTCGAAAGGGACAATCAAGCAATACAACATCGAAAAGATACCGGTATATTGTGGATAATGAAAAGGAAAGTGGTGTAATGGGTTGTGCGCTCGGACCTGAATGGGCATCAACAGCTGATATTTCCGGAGCACTAAATGTATGTCACAGCTTTTATGTATACTTTCCAATCTCATCGATCACATCTTATTCTTGGGTTTTTTTCTTGACTTGGGTTTTTTTCTTCTTTCATAACTTACGTTTTATGGGGAACATCTATATAAAAAAATTAATTTGAAATTGACACCTTCCTTTATAAAAAATTATAATTTGAAACAATCACTTCCCATTGAAGTTTTTTCGCACTTACAACGATCAAAAGGGCGACATTCAAAAGTAAAATAAAATCTGCGAAATTATTTTTATTTGTCTTTTTACAGTAGCATTATACATAATATATTATTATATTAAGCATCGACAAGTGCATGTGATCTATGATGTCGAATTGGAAGGATTCGTATCTCAACGTACTGCGCATAATGTTGCCATCCAGAAAGATCGTTTCAATTTTTCTAGTGGTATATGGCCTTTGTATGTTGAACTGACGAATGGAGAGATAATTGGATGCGACTTGATGATTGAGGCTACTGGAATACAGCCAAATTCTGATCTTTGGGCTCGCGATTGTCATCTGGTAAGTTTTAGTTATTTTCAGAAAGTTGTCGAGAAAAATAATAATCATTTGCATGCTTAGAGATGTTTTTTTTTTTTCTCACATCATCATAGATATATTCTCACTTCAATAATCGATAATGGATTATTAAAATAATAGGTAAGAGATGAATAGTATCTTTTATTTAGTTGAATTTGGCAAGTGACGGAGGAATAATTGTAGACGAACATATGTTATCGTCAGTTCAAGATGTATACGCATGTGGTGATGTATGTACTGCAGGTTGGCCCTGGGCAAAACATTGGATGCAGGTTGCTTTTGTTCATATTAATTAAAATCTGAATACTTTATTGCAGTTTTAAATCTTTCTTCGCTGCTTTACGATTAAAAATTACGCAACCCATATATATTTCCTTGTATTAATTCTAAAAATTCTGAGTAAATTAATTTTATTAATTTACGCATGAACATTAACAAAAAAATGTTTGATTTATCTTACAGATGAGGTTGTGGACACAGGCACGCCAAATGGGTGCATATTGTGGTCGTGCAATGGTATTCGGAAATGCAGTTCCACTTGATTTTTGTTTCGAGATGTTTAGTCACGTGACATCTTTTTTTGGATTCAAGGTTTGATTTCTTGGATTTTTTTTTTCTTTGGAACATATGTTATCGTCAGTTCAAGATATATACGCATGTGGTGATGTATGTACATGCTTCGACATCTTTACCGACAGTATTAAAAGTGAAATAGATATTTCAAGGTTTTCTTTCTTTCGTAAGTCGATTGACTTAGCATTACTACAAAAATAGTGAAAATGAATATTAAAGGGATTTTTCCTTCCTTTTACTCCATTCTTTCTTTTCTTAAATTTACGAATTCTAAAAATCGAAGATTTTTTCCACTTCATATATATTTTCTATTCCTTTCCATTCTTTCTTGTTTCATTTTTTTAGGCAATTCTATTATATATGTGTTTTCTTATTAATCTTTACAGGTTGTATTTCTGGGACGTTTTAATGGTGAAGGCGTGGAAAAACCGTTCCACGTATTACTGCGTATTACAACCGATGTGGAATATGTAAAACTTATCATTGCTAATGGACGTGTACAAGGTTTGCAGCTATGTAGATTGATATTTTGTCATGTTCTAAAAAACTTTATGCATTTCAGAACAGTAAAAAAATACTATTTACAAAATAGAGCTTCACAAAACAATGTTTCAAAGATCTGATTTTTTCCGAAGACATAAATAAATCTTTTTGAAGGTGCGGTGCTAGTTGGTGAAACGGATCTGGAAGAGATGATTGAAAATCTTATTTTGAACCAAATTGACATCAGCCAAGTAGAAGAAGGTCTTCTGGATCCAGAAATTGAAATCGCGGATTATTTTGATTGAATCTTTAAAACTGTATTGGATAAAACTGAAACTGGTTGTAGTATTGTGAATATCGCATTATTTACTGTAACTATAGTTTTAATTGCCTATTATTTTGTTAACTACGCCGATGCATTAAAAAACTTTAGCTTCTTTGATGTCTTAATTGAATTTAGAAGTATCCCTTTATTATATCACGATTTTTTTTCTGCCCTCAAGTTTTAATTGATTTGTGATATTTACATCTATGATTTAAAATATTATCAATTTATTTACTTCTATAACATATTCTTGTGTTAAGACGTTTACATTTCTCATTTAAAATGAACTGCTAGAAAATTTAGGTATCGGATGAGTTCACTGAAATAATTTGACCATAAATTAAGCAATTTAATGGTTGAAAAATGGACATCTTCGTTTTAGCCTTGATTCACAAATCTTTTGGCTAATATCGAAAATTTTGCCCCAAAATTCGGGAAATATTATTTATTTGCGGTCTAGACTGCAATTGCATACAATAGCATTTTATCATTAAAATGAAGAAAATATATAATTAAATATGATCCGATTGGAACGGACAGAATGTACCATCCATATAACTAGTAGAATTCCGAATTTGCATATGCTAGAAAAGAAAGTGACGGAATTTTCGGAGAGTTATTCCTGCAAAATGATCGAATTCTGGAAGTTGATATGCTCAATCGAACTTAACTCCGGAAATCAAATAGCACCTTTCAAGATCAGAAAAAGAATGTTCATTAAATTGAAAGAATTGATGAACTTCGGAAAGATTTATAGCATGAAATAGCTTCATTCCGGGAATAGATTGGTAATAGCGCGATGCTGACGAATGTTTATAGCGCATCAAAAAGTGAAACTATTTTTCAAAGATTCTTTTTGTTAACGAAAGATTAAACTTTTGGGAAACGCATCAGAAAATTAATGATTGCAGCATTAGCAAAAATATTAATCCGGCAAAAAGGATGCAATAAATATTTTACGCAAATATGCGACTTGCTCTGGAAAATTAATATCTTCCGGAAGTATACACCGGAAAATTATTGCATTTTGAAAATATGTTGTATATCATGCTAAAAAATCCTGAAGGCACATATAACAGTTAATATATAACAGTTAATTGAATTTCAGAAACGACAAAGAAGAAAGTGCAAACAATGAAGTGGAAGCGGTCAATCATATTTTAAATGCACAGTCTTGGAGGTCAAAAGGCCAGGTCGAAAAAGCAACTGACGCTCCCGGGTGGGCTTGAACCACCAACCTTTCGGTTAACAGCCGAACGCGCTAACCGATTGCGCCACGGAAGCCACCAGCAACAATAATTTGACTGTATTTGTTGTAATGACTTTTGTATTTCAATTCATATTAGGTTTAGACTTAGGCTTAGGCATAGGCATCTATAAAAAACAGATAAAATTTTATTTTTAATAAATAATTAATCAATTAATCTATCTGTTTTCAGCGGTGGATAATGTGTGTGACATATAAGAACGGAACGGCCTCGGAATCGGACGCATTTGCACACTTCCCATTCATAGCAGTTGGAATTTTTCCTATTGTTATGAATTGTAATTGAATTAGAAATGGATTTAAAACTTGAGCACATATAAAGTGTTGTTGCGAGGATGTTCATCGTATTCTTTGGAATTATTATAAATTCCGGATTTCCTACAACATTTCAGATTTACATAATTCATCTTAAATCAGAGGCGTTAAAGAAGTTCGACAATTATTTTGGTTCACTTTGTCACATACTAATTATCTGCAATTTTAAAAATGTATTATTAGAAAATTGACTTATAACATTGAAATGAAAAATAAATTCATTTTAATTGTGACATTAAAACAAATAAATAGAAAACAGCATATGAATTGAATAGATGAACAAAATAAGTTCGAATGATCATCGAGAATGTTATGGAGGAGTAGGGGAGAAAAAAAAAAATTTGTATCTAATGATTAATCAATTTTATGATAGATAATTGGGCAATTTTGATCGCTTCTAGGAAATAAACAAAACGAAAGTATAGTAATTATTACTTTTTCAATAATTCTGAGTGTTATATTTCCAATTTATCTTATTCTAATCATTTCATCAATCTTTGAATTAAAAAGGAAACATGAATATAAAGAGATTATCATTGAATCGTCGCCATTATTATCATCATTTCATTAGCAAATAACATATAATAATAATTAATAATCATCAAATATGCTGATAATGATAATTATATTACAAATGGGCATTATGAATTGTAAAGTAGAAAATTTCAACATCATAACTACTTTGTATATCACTTCCAATCGATCCATTCATGATCAACTTCAACATGCTGAAGTAATGTTATATTTTGAAAAACAAGATCATCTCCTGAGCTGTCAGGTTTTTGTGTTTGTAATGCATCGGAAAGAATGATATCCGTTATCGGTCCATCCCATTTCACGCCGAACATTGCTATCTGTTTCGCAAAGATCGATTGACGGATTTGCATAAAATCAAATCGATTTGGAATGTTGTACGCAACCTGTCAGAAAAGAAAAAAAGACCAAATTATTATTTTTCTTCCCTTTTTTTTTCTAATTGAGCTTAAAATTCGTTAAATTTTTTGAGCAAATAATTTTTGTCTGAAAATTTATGCATATATGTTGATGCAAAAATGTGCTAACAATTCCTTATTGCTATTTGTTGCAATGATATAATTAAAATAAAATAATATATGCATAGATAATTTGAGTTTTTTTCAATCAAAAAAAAAAATTAAAATTTAATCAAAAAAAAATGAAAAAAAAGGAAAGAAATAAAAAATAACAAACCGCTAATCCTTCGCCTGTATTTACAAGTGATACGCTACCGATTTGTTCAAACATATGATGTGTATAGAGATCTGCCTCAATCCTTACCGTAATATTGTTAAATACCACCTAAACGATAGACATAA